TGGGGGGAGCGGACCTTGAGGTTCCCTTCCTCATCGAACGTCTCGTCATAGGTGAAGTCCCTTGTCATGTCAGCCCTTAGAGTCTCAAGGGGACGGGACAGTCAGTCGCTACCTGTGCGGCAGGTTGAAGCCGTTGTTGCCGGCCCTCCAGGGCTCTCCAACCGGAGGATCTGGGAAGAACTCAGTTGATCTCTTGGTCCCTTCATCGTCGGTCACCCAGGTGCCAGGCAAACACGGAGGGCTCGATCGCGATCTGGTCGGTCTCTATAGCAAGAAGGCCTCAACAGAAGGAGGAGGAGGAGGAGGAGGAGGAGGAGGAGGAAGAAGAGAAGGAGAAGGAAAGAGAGGGGGGGGAGGGGGGGGGATCAACACCGAGAATCTGTTCAGCGAAGTCGAACAACTTGTCGATCAGGTGCCATGGCTGGGATCAGATCAAAAGTCTCAACACTCTTGCTGAGAGCAGAGGGACCTGCTGGTATGCGAAGATGAAGCAAGCAGGCCAACCCTTGCTCTTCAACTCTTTCATCGCCTCGATCATCTGACCAACTTGATGACTCGTCAAGAGACCATGCCCCCCGATTCACCTCGTTGAAGCAGATGTCTTTTCCCCAGTCCAGACTCGGGGAGGCGAAAAAACCGTTGTCGTCGAGCGTCTCTTTCAGCATTTCATAGTCTCGAACCGACAACGTACTTGTAAAGGATGGCCCAGTGTCATTGTAGTCCTCGTACACCTTTAACCCATGAGAGAAGGCGTTTTCCCAGTACTCCCCCGTCGTGGCTTCCGACTGAAATTTCTTAGCATGCAGAGCTCGCAGGGTCTCCTCGACTCTTGCGCTGTGTTCCCTCTTCTCCTTGCCGCCTGCTAGGATGCGGTCACGCCTCGTCTTACCATGAAGGCGCAGGAGGAGGCTTCACCGGAGGGAGCTGCTGCCTGTCCTGAGCGGATTGTTTCCAACCGTCTGCTTGCGATGGATCTCACTTGCTGTCCGACGGGCACCATCATCCCCAGGGTCAACTCCTCCCTGTCCCCTCCCTCCGCACCTCGACGCTGCTCGCCTTCAGTATGTCCTCCAGCACCTGAACCTCTTCGCTCTCGTCCTTGACGGGGGTTCTCTTGAGGATCTGACAAGGTCAAGTCAGTGAGCCGTGCATGCTCCTCCTAGATCGCCTTCGACAGCTTCTCGATCGCCATCGCCCGACGCTCCTCCGCCGTCGCCATTGCCCCGACAGTCGACCCACCCTGTCATACTCATTACCCCCCCCTTTCAATAAGAATTTAGTGGATAGGGATTGGGTGGGTAGGGGCTTGCCGGGACGGTGAGGAATACAATGGCGGCACAAGCGATTGAGCAGAAGCTGCGGGACAAGCTGAAGGTGAGAGAGGAGAGGAGAGGAGAGGAGATGAGAGAAGAGGAGAGAAGATGAGAGGAGAGCAGAGGGAACAGGATCAAGGGACTGTACAAGTCAGAATGATCTCGGATCGGGTGCTCGTTTATCAGCCTCAGGCTAGAATGTGACAAGAAAGGATAAGATATGAGGGATTACAATGACGACAACAGGGAAAAATCAAAACAGCTGGGAGAGGCGGGGGGGGGGGGGCAGGGAGGGAGGACGGGAAAGGGGCAGGGGTTGGAGGTGTGCACACTTGAAGCGAGAGAGAAGAAGTGCTATCTGGATAGAAACAAGGTTTGATCAGAGCCTCTTACGGTGTTGTTGGAAACTCAGGCGACTGTTGTGGAAGTCGTGGATCTTTCGGACGGTAACAGCAGACACGCTGCCATGAAATCTTCTTTCTTGTCCGGACATTTTCATTGTTTGCGCGCCCCAATACCACATTTCCCTCCCCTCCACTTGCCAATGTCTTAAACTTATTTGCTCTGTGAGTCCAAAGGGCAGCAATGATTCGACCCTCCTCTTCGATCCTAACTCTCGATCTCTTTCTTCGATCATCTCCTCCTTTCGATCTCTTTCTTCGATCATCTCCTGCCCTCCTCCTGAAGGAGGGGAAGGCTCATGTTGAACCTGATGCGTCTCCCTCATGGCCCTTTGTCTCTTCAGCTGCCCTGCCTGCTCCTCTCCTCCTCTAGAAAGGTTACTGAGGCTCCCGCAGGTTGCGGGGCGAAGCTTGACCTCCTGGTCGTCTCGGAGAAGTTCGTTGGGATGTCGCTGCTAGACAGGTGAAGGTAGCAGATGTTTCCAACCAGCTCAACGTGGAGTTGGGCAGACAACGGAGCGTGCATGAGGCGATCGAGGAAGAGATGAAGACCATTCATGCGTTGACGATGAAGACGAAGACCCCAGAGTAACCTCCTCGTGGGCGTCTGCAGGTCGACTGACCTCCTAGTGCAGGCAGTACGAAGCGATGAAAGCAAAGGGCTGATAGAGGAATTCGAGTATTACAATCAAAGAACTTTGGGAAGGAAAGTTTAGCACCCTCATTCGCATCGAGAACACTCCAAGGAGCTGACGTATTAGTCTCTCATTGTCTTCTCTGCTCTTCATCTATCAGCTAGTCAGCCCTGGCTCTCCATACTAACCCCATGCCACCAACAGCTCAACTCGTTCTTGTTTAACATCTCCAACCTCTCAACGAACCGCCTTCTTCCTCCCTCTCCCCTCTGTCTATCCCTTTCTATCGTCGTCGTCCTCATCATGATAGCAGCGAACCTCCTTGTACTCTCTCTCCAGTTTTCTTCCCGTCGATGTTCTGAAAGCACTGAATTTTACAGTGGGGGTGCATAGGGCTTTATGTGATCCACCCCACTACCCCCCTCAAATACTTTACTACCCCCTATTTAAATACTGAACAGTACCCTAATGCATATAGTAATCTGGTACCCCTACCCCTCGTTGGGATCAATTCTTGGCTGCCATGGTGTTCCACTGTGACCGTCCCAGCCTGGAGCCCTGCTTTGTGCAACCGCTCGGAGCAGGAAGAGCAGGAGCAGGAGCAGGAGCAGGAGCAGGAGCAGGAGCAGGAGCAGGAGCAGGAGCAGGCCTGTGCCTGAGGAAGGGGTATGTCCATGGATGGCAGCTCCTGAAGCAGAATCGACCAAGTCACGGAGGAATCCGCATGTCGGCGAGACCCGAGGAGGTGTGTCGAACGTGGGCGGGAAGGTCGAGGTCGAGATATGCACTGATGGCCTCCATGATGGCAGGCGGGACCAGCTGCTGATCTCCTCTTCGACGCCTTTCAGTTCGTGTTCTCCCCTGCTGGCTTCGCGAGCTTGGGAGGAGTCGTTGGTAAGAGCTGTTGTTGCAAGGAGAGTGATCTCAACCAGTGGTGCAGTCCTGGCGTTTCTATGGGACCTGGTGACAGCCTCGGATGGGAGAAACTTGCTGGGCCAGAAAGAGGCAACGTCGATCTCTCTTCTCGGTCAGGAATACAACGTCAGGGATATCGACAGGGAGTCCAGGTTTGTTCTGCAGTTCTCGGCGACGACGGACGGTTTCTACGAGAGCCCCAACGGTCAGTTTGACAGGAAGGGGGTTTGACCCGCGTGCCTGACGGTGGGATGGGTGAAGGAGGTACGGAAAAGGTGCAAGCGGGAGTGCAGTATGTCGAGGAGTTCGATCGACTCTCCTCTTGCGTTGCCCTCTCGCGCTCCATCCAGAGCCGATTCGGTGAGAGGACGAGGCTCGTGCCGCTACCCCTGAGCTGACTATGATACAGGGAAGGACAAAGTTCGTTTCAAGACCTTCGAAGGTCGCTTTGACATGCCGTTGTCGGGGGGCAGAGGAAGGGAGAAGAAAGGAAGGAGGGACGAGCGAGGGGGGGGGGGGGGGGGGGGGGGGGGCGGAGCGGATGCTGATGAGGAGGGCACAACAGTGCGGCCCAACGGAGATTGGATCGAAAGGACTGCTTCTTCCTCAAAGGAGCTGCCGCCCATTGTAAGGAAGATGGTCCTCTCCAGGTGCCTGATGCTACTGGCAGGGGCGAACTGAAAAGTCGCCGGAAGCCCCCGTAGGAGGGAGTGAGTCAGACGCGGGTCTGTCCCAAGAGCCCATCGACAAGGCGTGGAGGGAGTACATGGACTCCATGAAGCTGACCTCGAAGAAAGGTAGGACACAGTGAGCGTCAGTACCCGCAGTGGCTCCTCCCTCTCCCCCTCCCTCATGTCCGGTGAAAGATTCAGGTCTGGAGAACGTTGAGATCCGGTACATCACGGGAGAGAACGCGTGTAGGCTTTGCAACGGGAAAGGGATCGTCGGGTGAGGACACGACGATCGAGGAGGGTTCGCAGCTGACGGCCTTGAAGCTGCAGCAAGTGCTCCACGACCTCGTCAGCGAAAGCGGAGGATGCGGTGGAAGGCAAGGTGAGCAGCTGCATGCGCGGCTGCCAGAGTTCTGACGAGGACCAAGTCTACGGGCTGCGAGACGTGTGGGGGCAAGGGAGTCGTGCCATGCTCGTGGTGCGGCGGGACGGGGATGCGCGCGGAGAGCAGATAGGCCGGGGGAGGCAGACGGTCGGGTGTAAAACTTAGGTTGTACATTGAGAGTTGATCGGAGTTGAGGTGAAGGAGAGAGTGCTTCAAGCCTGCTGCTCCGAAGCCTTCGATCCTTCCTTGGCCTCTAGAGACTTCCACTCCTGCATAATGTAGACTGTCAGCAGAGGAGACAAGGAGTGTGGGGGAAGGGGCAGAGCAGCAGGCAGGCAGGCAGGCAGGCAAGCAGAGATACTGCATTCACCTCCTCCCTCTCTTTCGCGTCTTGCAGCACCCAGCTTCTCTCTGACGCAGATAGCCTGCCATATCTTTCAGTCATCCTCTGACCTCGTGTCCCTGCGGCTCACGTCTTCCATGATCTGATCTCGAACGCATCTCGGAAGCAGCCGATGCAGACTTGTCCATCAAAGAAGTTGGGGTTGTACCGGCAGATCCGGTTGCAAGGATTGCCGACAGGTCCTGCCCTGCAAGTCATGTCCTAGCGCACCGTCTGCATGTTCACACCTTCATTCTTCCCTCCCGCGCTTGTGGAGAGGGTTGTGTGCGGCCATAGCCGCTTTGCAGTACATCGTGACTGCTGAAGGTGCGCCGGACGGAGCCATGGCAGGGGATCGAGGGGGAACGCGAGGCAGTGTACGAGGTGAAGGAGGAGAAGGATCAGGAGGAGCTGTGTTGGTGTATCCATTCCATGCGCTAGGATCTCGAACCTGAAGACCCCCTGCCCGCCGAACTTTCCCTTCCTCCCATTTTCCCTCTTGAAGTGAGCCTGCTTGCGGGTGGACCCCACCCCTTAGCAAATTGGAAAGAGTACCCTACCATACTATTGACACCTTTGTTATTGGGATGATACCCGGTGATGGACAACACCCACCCCACCTAAATCAAGATCTTGCTTCACCGCCTCCTCCACTGCCTTCCCACCCCGCTCGTCGTTCCCTCCCACTCCCCTTCCAGCTCCTCTTCTCCCGTCTCCTACAGGGCACGGAGCTTGTCGTCCACGTCCATCCAGGCCTCTCCCTCGTCCTCAGACCATGGCAGATACCGACATCGTGGGTGTGCTGAAGCAAGCAGCAGAGGAAGCGGCCGTCCCCAACGATGTTCGCCAATTGAGAGCATGCCTCAAGTGTCATTTGGTCCTGCCTGCTCGGCAGTTTGACAGGTAGCTAGTCCTTTCCTCTCTCCCTGGGCTCCTGACTTGGGGGATCAAGGCAAGGCTGTGCCAACTGTGGGACCCGTGAGAACTATGCGGACGAATACTGTACCGTGAACTTCACAGGGTGATACTCTTGTTACGCTTGTTTGTGTGGTGAGATAGCGATCCATGCAGAATATCCGCCATCACCCAACCTCAACACAGCTGGGTCTCTCGATGGCTGGACAAACGTATGCGCTTGTTCCCCTGCGTGCGAGCCTGCTGACTGCTCGTTTCTTTAGAGGATCTCAAGCCTGGATGCTACGCGCTGGAAGTTGCCGGGGACGCGGCAGCAGATGCTGGAGGCGATGACGAGGACTGAAGTGCTTGTTCGTCATCTGCTGCTCACCTTATCAGGTCCAGCAACAGGCAAGTGCTCGTCTCCTCCACGTCCAGTCCATCCCCGTCCCAACGTCCTGGAGCCGATCCTAGCAGGCCTCGAACGCTTGTTTGTTTCTCTTGATGAAAGGTAAAACGTCGCCATGCTGAAGAGATACAATCATCGCTCTTGATGTAAGAGGAAGACTCCATCCCTCCTGTCTTGCATCTCTCTCTCTCTCTCCGATCCTTCAGAGTTCAGCTCCATCGCTCCTGCCCTCTACGCATGAACATGCTTGACGGTGTGCTGCTGCTTCTCGAGCAGACATTTCACAACTGCAACCGTCCGCTGCCTCTTGAGCACATCTCCATTCTTCTCCTTCCACTTCCTCTTCGGCCTCCTCTTCCTCCACCACCCACTGCTGGGGCAGCTGAAACTATGACGACTAAATGGTTGTTCTTCCACTCACTCCACCTCCTGCTGCCACCGCCGCTGCTCCTACTCATTCTTTCTCCTCCTCCTCCTCCTCCTTCTCCTCCTCCTTTCCTCCTTCTCCTCCTCCTCCTCCTCCTCCTCGTCGTCATTCCTCTTTCTATAGTTCCTCTCTTCCACTCTCTAGAAAAGGGCCTCACCGTCGGTTGAGTAAATAATTTGACTTTGACAAGAGGTCGCGAAGGGAGGGAAGGATGGAGGGAGGGGGCAAGTAGGTATAGCAAACAAGATCCAGCAAGGAGGAGGAGGAGGAGGAGGAGGAGAAGGAGGAGGAGGAGGAGGAGGAGGAGGAGGAGGAGGAGATTCCAAGTGCAGGATAAAAAAAACATGTGAAACATATGCGGGATGAAAGTGTTGAGATGAAGAACAAATCGTGTCTTCACAACTAAGCAAGTAGTTCACACGCAGGTGAGGAGTGAAGAGATGAGGCGTCAAGAGAGCATAGAAATTTTAACAAGGCCCAACAAGTCAGAATACGAGAAGGTCACGGGAACCTTGCAATAGTGTCAAGTAGCAGAAGAGATACAGTAAGGGGATAGAGGAGGTGCAGGAGGCTAGCGGTGCAGGGAGGAGGAGCGGGAAGGGAGAGGTGATCTTGTCCTCGCTAGGTCATGCCGGAAGGCGTCAAGGCGGGCATCGGGGCGGCTCTCCTGCAGGTTGATGTCGGCAGGCTGTCCATTACCAACGTAGGCTGGGGCTCCCCCTCCCATTTCAGCGGTTGCCTTGCCCTCAACGACCACATAGTGGCGGTCAATGGCGAGGCGTTCCGCCATGTGGAGCAGGTGCCCTCTGCGCCGCCATGCTGTGCCAGCGGGCTGACGGCTCTCCTGCCAAGGCAACCAAGCGCATACTCGGGGAGGAAGGGACCCTTGTGGAGCTGACGATAGTGAAGGGTGGGGACGGGCCCTCGGAGAGAGTCACCCTGATGAGGAAGCACTCGCAGTACAGCCAATGTCCTGACTCGATCGCTGGGCTCGGCCTGGTCCGTCTCAAATCCCCTCTCCTCCTCCTCCTCCTCCTTCCCCTTCTCCATCCTCTTCCTCCTTCCTCTTCTTTGCTTCTCATATACCCCGCAGATTCTCGCTCCTTTCGACGGCAAGGGCCTTCAGGTCCTCAAGCTCCTGCATGGAGGCCCCGCGCAGCTCTCGGAGAGGCTCTGCCTTGACGACTACATCCTCTCCATCGACAACCAGGTCTCCTCCCTCCCTGCTGAACCTTCACAGTGACAGGCAGGCAGGACGTGGCCGGATCGACAGTAGAAGAGATCGCAAACATGGTCAAGGGCCTGCCATTCACGCGGGTGGAGCTGGAGGTGGCGAGGAAAGATCGAATCCTTCACATAAGCCTCATCAGGGTGAAAACGATTCTCATCCTTTCACCCCCCTGCTCCTCCTCCTCCCCAACATCATTATTATCATCCTGTTGTCTTCATCCCCAATGCCCTCCACCTCATTCTCTCTTCTAGTTGCTATCTTTCTTCTCTTCATCCTCCTCCTTCTCCTCCGATCGTGCCTGACGAGCTTTCAAGAACACGCCGATGGAGGGAGATATGTTGGACAAGGCCCTGGACTACAAGTTTCGCATGCAGGAGCTGACGAAGCACGCGACGGCTCGCAAGACGTTGCTGGGGGCCAGCGCTCCCCCCAAGGAGGTGTACAGGTCGCTCCTTCAGGGTGAGGACGGGAGGAGGCTGTGGGTTGCCAGAGGACTGACGATGAGGGGGGGTGCGCAGAGATGGAGGAGCTGAGCGCGAAGCTAAGGGAGAAGCAAGAAGAGTCCAATCGCTCCTTCGAGATGCTCGAGGCAGAGGCTGAAACCCTCACCAACGAGCTGGCTGCCCTTAAGAGCCTCCGGGCTACCCTGGCGACCATCCCCTCCACCCTCTAAGGGTCCACAGCCTCCTCCTCTTCTCCTCTCATCCTCCTCGTTTCCCCAACTCATCCCTTCTCCGCATCCTCCTTTGGAGATCCTGCTACTTCCCTGGAAGTTGGTATCTCCTTCCCCCGTTCTTCCGGGCCACCTCTCCGGGCCTCCTGGCGCTCGCCCTCCTCCTCCTCCTCCTCCTCCTCCTCCTCGTGAGCTCTCCAGCTACTGTGAGTGGTTATTCGTATCTGCTACTCTCGTGTCATCCTAGTACAGCCACGTTGGTTCTTCTCCTGTAGCCTCCCGGATGGACGCGATGGCTGTGTTGACACCGTCCTGTCAAGGCGAGTCACGTCCCCCCTCTGCCCCAAGAACCTCTCCCACCTTGAGCAAGGCATTGTCGGGGTCAAGCTTCAAACCTTGCTTGTAGACCTGCCAGGGATTCAGCTCCTCCCCATCTTGCTCCTCCTCCTCCTCCTCCCTCCTCTTCCATCCCTGTGTCCTCCTCTTTCTTCTCCATCCCTTCCTCTGCGTCCCCTCCCTTTCCCCTCCTCTCCCTCTCTCTCTTGCCTTCACGGCTTCCGCCCACTGCCGCTGTCCGTGCAACGCTGCTCCCTTCCTCGAGTATCCCTTGGCCCAGTCAGGAGCGAGTTTGACGACCTTGTTCGCATCCTCCTGGACCAGCAGCTCAATCAAATACGGCAGGAAAGCTCGCTGAGCACGAACAAGAGCATGCTCGTAGTCCTCAAGGCCAGCGTAGGCGGCCGAGCGGTTGGAGAGGAGGATGTGGTTGTTAGGGTCCAGCCGGACCGCGATGGAGTAGCTCGCAACCTTGACCAGGGAAGGACGTCAGACAGCCAGGAGGACTCCAGTTGACGTGACGTACCGCTGCTGTGTAGTCTTTGCGCTTGAACGCCGCATCACCTTTCATCTTGACCGCCTCAACTTTCTTTTTCATCGCCTGACAAGGGACTTTCAGCGTCCCCTGCAGCTGGGGAGCAGCTGAACCTCGCTGGAGCTGCCGTCGTCGGAGTCTGAGCTCAAATCCTCTTGTTTCGCCACCCGCTGACATCACAAGTTTCAGTAAGGGGGGGGGGAGGAGAGAGATGGGAGGGGAAGGGAGGGAAAGGGGACGGAGGCAAGGGAGGGAAGTACCTTTTTCTCCTTTTTCTCCTTGTTCTCCTTCTTCTCCTCAGCGAATCCGGGCCCTTCATGTCTCCCATTCGAACTCCCTGGAGAAATTTTCACGAGCTGTACGTCAGCAGCATCGGGGGTGAACCTTCCCCGCCATCGACCGACTCCTTGTCCCTGCCCTCCTCCCGACTCAGGGGTTCAGCCTTGACATCAGCAGCAGAGGACCCGCTCTCCTGCTTGCCCTCGTGGCTCTCGGCAAACTTTGCCTTGGCCTGGTCAAGCTTGACCAGAAATGCCCTCATCCTGCCGCGTCCTATGGCTCAGGCGAGCAGCAGGGGGGCGGGAGGAGGAACGGACCTCTCCCTCGCGTTCTTGTCCTTGGGCATGCAGACCGAGATCAGATCGGTAACCGAGGACCTCGAGAACTTGGCGATCGCGTTCGCAGCTGAAGTCTTGCTCCTCCTCCTCGCGCTGTCCTCAGCCTTCTCCCCATCCTGCACGACGGTCACCTAGCTCCTCCAGGCTCCTCCCAGCTTGAGTCCAGCAAAACCTGATCGGGGGTGTTGGGGTTCGCTCCGCTGCTCAGCAGCAGCTCTACGGCCTGCACGTTGTCGTTCATGGCGGCGGAGTGGAGGACCTGCCCGAGAGCTTGAGCGACTGCCACGCACCGCCACCTCTCCCCAACTCACTGACGTCCCTCCTCTGTTCTGCGCGTTCACATCCGCGCCGGCGAGCATGAGGAGGCGCATGCAGTCCATGTGACCTGGCCGGCAGTGTGACGCTCCCGTCCTTTCCCTCCCATCCTCTCCCTCACTCTCTCCCGCCTGTCCCTCCCTCCCGCCTGTCCCTCCATCTCTTCCTCTTCCTCCTCTCTCTGCCGCTCTCTGCCATCCTGGCCTCTCTCTCTTGCTCTCTCCCTCCCCTCCTCTTCTCCCACCCTTGGCAGCGGTGAAATGGAGAGCACTGTGCCCGACGAACCCGTATGACGTTCCCTGCCGCTGTGGTCACCCGGAGCACCGATTCATCTCCTCCTTCTGACTGACCTGCCCTCGATACCAGAGCAGGTCTGGTCTCTCGAGGAGCATTCGCTCGAGGGTCGGCTGCCAGCAGGTATCTCAGCTGACGCGTTGACGGGGGAGGGGGTAGGAGGAGGGGATGACCTGGTGCCCGTTCTTGGCAGCGTCCATGAACTCTTTTCCCACCTGCAAAGGAATCGTGAGCGAGGGGTCCCAGAGAGGAGGAGGGTGGAGAGGTCGAGAGGAAGGGACTTTGAACTTCGACCTGTCTCGGAACTGATTGGTCGGCAAAATCGATCTCACGAGGAGCTTCGAAGTTGGACTTGCTCCCCCCTCCGCGCCTCTCCGCCCACCACTCGTCGAGATCGCCTGCACGAGCTCCACCATCCTCTCCCCGGCTCCTCTCGCCGTCTTCGTCGTCGGAGCACGGCAGCTCGTCCCTGGCAAGAGCGATCAGGGGAGGAGGAGAGCACAACCCTGCCTCCTCGGCACCACTGAGCCGTCAGTTCACGCAGTCGGACCTCCGCGTTCTTCAGTGCGTCCTGCGTTCACTTCACTTCAGCGGCGGCTCATGGCGCCCAGGACAAGGACGTCTTGCCTGCATGGCCCCGTTGCTCGGGTCTTTCTCGAGCCCCGTGCGATAGCAGACAACGGCATCGTATGTGTCCCCGCACTGTAGACAAGCGGCTCCCTGAGGGCTCGTCAGCTCCAGCGCAGCCTCCTCGGCTTCCAGCACGCACCTTCCTTGAGTAACCCTTGGCCCAGTCAGGGTCCAGGTCGATACACTGCTGGGCGTCTCGGATCGCCTCCTGTCCTTGGCGTCAAGATGGCAACATATGACCGAGGGGACGCCAACTTGCCTTGCACCGGCCGAGACCCAGGTAGGCGGCCGACCTGTTACTGAAAAGGATCTTGTTGCTGGCATCGAGCTTCAACGCCTTCGAGTAGTACTTGACGGCCTCGGCGAACTTCTTCTCGGCAAACATGGCGTTTCCTTTCTCCTTGAGCGTCGAGGCATCCTTCTCTTCCTCAGCCTCTTCGCTGTCAGGATGGTCCTGCTGAGTCTCCGGACTTTTCTGCGCCGCCCTCTCGTCTCCCTGCAGCAGGGACAAGATGCTCGGCGAGAGACTGTGTCCTATCCTCGCTGCTGACTGCTCCGCATTCGCTCCCCCCTTGTCTCTTATCCCCGGGTCTGCCTTGTACCTCAGGAGCACTTGCACGCACGACTCTTGGCCGTTCTGCGCAGCTGCATGGAGGGGAGTGGATCCCCCGTTGTTCTGCACATCTGGATCAGCCTTGGACTCCAGCAGGAACTCCAAGCACTCGGAATGGCCCTTGGCTGCGCACCAGTGCAGAGCGGAATGCCCGACAGAGGCTTGTCTCGTGCCAGCTCCCTGATACCGTAGGATCTCTGGTCTCTCCTCCAAGAGAGACTTGAGTGTTTTGAGGTTTCCCTCCTTGGCGGCCTTGAGCCATTGCTTTCCCATGTCTTTGGTCACCGAGTGACGATTGCCTTCCGGCTCCTTCTTAGGCTTCTTCACTTCTTTCGCATCCTGTTGAGCTGACGACTCACAGGATTCAGCATTATCATCGTTGTCGTCATCATCGTTATCTTGCTTCCGTTGGGATCCTTTTCCCCTGACGTCCATGGCTGGTTTGCCTTTGGCACCAGTCGCCCACTTGAATTCTGCATCGCGAAGCGCCTCTTGCATCTGCTGGTTGTTTGGCTCCAACTCAAGTCCCTTCTTATACGCCTCCACTGCCTTATCAAAGATCCCACGACCGGCCAATGCTGCTCCCTTCCGGGAGTATCCTCTAGCCCAATCGGGCCTCAGCTCAATGGCGAACTCAGCATCTTCAAGGGCTCGGAACCAGTCGCCAAGAGCCGCATACGCTGCTGAACGATTGCTGTACATGACATGGTTGTGTTCGTCCAGACGGATTGCCATCGTGTAATAGCGGATCGCACCCGGCATGTCCTTATTGCCGAAGGCTTCATTTCCCTTCTGTTTCAGCTTCGCTACCTTGTCATTGTCGGACGACGCTCCTGAGCTTGCTGCTGAGTCCTGTCCGCCCCTGGTCTCAGCTCCTTGGCTCCTTTGACCACCGTGCCCGTCCTCAGTTCGGCCATACCTGGATTGCAGGAACGATTTAGCCTGGCGGAGTGGGGCCTTCCCTTCCTCAAGGTCGCTAAGATACTGCTTCACCCGTCTCGAAAGATCCTCTTTGTCCAGCAGCCCAGCCCTATCAATGTTTGCCAGCGACAGCACAGAGTTCAAGTTGTGCAGATTCCATGCCTCCTCCGACTCGTCAGACCTTAGGAGGTTGATGAGTTGTTGGAGCTCAAGCAGCTCCTCTACCTCCCTCATCGTCTCCAAGAACGATTGATTCTCTTCACGATCCTGCTTCCCCTCTGCAGCAGCTTGCTCGGCGTTCGAGATGCGCTTGCTGGCTATGTCCAGCGCTGTCAGACCATCTTCGTCCTGTACGCTGAGGTCCACCCCAGACTGCAGTAGAATCTTCAGCGCCCTGGTGCTTCCGTTGGCTGCTGCGGAATGCAGAGGAGTGGAACCGCTGTTGTTCTTGATGCTCAGACTTGCGCTGCTCTTCACCAGGAACTCCACGATGTCGCAGTAGTCGCGCGCTGCTGCCCAGTGGAGGGCAGTATTCCCCAACCCCCCCTGCTTGGCATTCAGCAGGGAGGAGTCCTTGGCAAACAGCCTCCTCAACGTCTGTATATCATTCTTCCTGCTGGAGTCAATCCATTCCTTGAGGTCTTGAGGAGAGAAGGAGGGAGCAACTCCCGCTGGCTCCATTGCTAGTTTCTGCTCCCTTGCTGCTGGAGATGAACGATGTTCGCTACGATTCTCGGCTCGGAATTTTGGCAACCTGGTCGAATCCGTGAAAATCAACAAGGAAACCCAGTTCAATGACATAAATGGAACAGGCAAACCGGAGCAAACGAAGGAGGAAGGGGTACCAACATGTTCAGGAGCACGGGTGACATGAAACAAAGAAAACGACTCCACCATGCTGCCCATGAGACTGACAACAAGACATCTGGGTGGTTGTCCTGATCTCGCCTCTTACATCCTATCGCTCTTGTCCTCTCCCTTCCTCCATGCCTGGTCTCCCATCTCTCCCTCACCTAGATTTAACCTTCCTTGTGCTCTTACTCCCCTCCCTACCTTACTCCCCTTCTCCCTCTCTCCTATTCCTCTCCTCACTCTCCCTCCTCATGCTTTTCCCTCGAACCCTCGATCCCTCGCCATCTTTCTCCCTCCCCCTTCCCTCCCCCCTTCCTCTTCCCTCCATGACCGTCACGGCATGGCTTGAGGATCCATGCCCAACTCTGAACGAGTCACCGTGACGCTAGCGGTCTTGGCGCCGGGCCACTGAGTGGTGGCGCCGCCGGGCCGCCGGGCGGCCCGGCGGCGCCCGGACTGTCCGATCACCGGCCGCGCCGCGCCGCGCGGTACTACGGTCCTGAGTGACCGGAACCGTCGACGATCCGAGTGGACCGTCAGGCTGGTCCGGGCCGCAGTGACAGTAGTGAGTGAACTCCGGCGAACTGTGCCCGGCCAGGCCCTTCCGATGGTCCTGCAGCAGCCCGGCCGGGGGCCGTACGCCGGGCAACCGTTGAGATCGGAACCGGCCGGGCGCCGCGGGGCGGCCGCGGGTCCCCCGGTACTCAGTGACTACCGTTACGCCGTGACGGTCAGTGGCACCCGAAAGTGGCACGGCCCCTACCGTACCGCCGTCGGTCGGGTCCGAGGCACCGGGCCGGACCGTGCGGCTGATCGGATCATGGGACCGGACGGTACTACCCGGCGGGTCCGAGTCACCGCCGGCCGCCCGGCGTTTTACGGTCTGTCCGATCGCCGGGCGACCACTTGGCAGAGTTCCGGCTCGGGAGTCCGCCGGACTCCAAGTCCCGGGTCGGAGTCACTGACGGAATACAAGTTTGTTAGACTTGTACTAGTCCAAAGTCACGCAGACGGTCACATCGACCTTAGTTGTAACAAGACAGTTTTTGCTCAAGACCGAGTTTAATGCACACAAAACCAGAATTGAGGAGCACATGAGAGATAGACTGTATGCTAGGATGTGAAACCCAAGCATCCAGACATGAGAGGACCTTAGCAAGACGGCTTGGAAAGCCCCCTTCTTCGTCCCACACGCTACATCGTCCGCCTTGCCACGTAAGTCGTCTTGGTTTACAGGAGAGTTTTTGTTAACTCGGCGCTATCTGACTGGCACGGCTGGCATACGTTCCATCAGTCACTGATGATCGGATCGGACCACGGTCGACTCACGGCGGGCCGCGGCCCGGGCCCGGCGGGCCGGAATGGTCTGGTCTACCAACTTCTGTGGTCACAACCTCCTTGGAAAGTAACTTGAGCGGTAATCCAGATGATGGGGTAGGGGTAGTGGCAAGGCTCAGTTGGGGGTAGGGGTAATGGGAATCACCCTCCATTCAAGAGTACCCGTACATCATACCAGTGCACTTGTATTGAGAATGCTCTAGCTGGGGGGTGGGGTGAGGAAGATTTGAGGGGTAGGTCAACATTACCGATGAGACAGGTTGGGTTTAGGGGGTGGAGAACGATGACCATGCAGTAGCTGCGCAGGTAAGAGCGGGAACGGTGGAGGCGGAGGCGGCGGCGAGCAGAAGATGAGGGAGAGAGAAGAGAGAATATGATCTGATAAAGGCAGCTGGTCCACGTAGAACAGGGGGCGGGGAGAGGCGACAGTTTGCGAGCTGGATCATAGTTGACCGTAGAACTGCTCATAGCGACTGATGTGCAAAGGGCAGCTGACATTTTGTGATATCAGCAAGGAAAGGGTTGAAGAGGAAACATGTCTCAGCAGAAAAAGAGCGCCTTTGTGATACATGCCTTCAAAACACAGCCTCCCAAGGATGCAGACATGCCGAAGCGGTGAAGTTGAATGTTTTTCTCACCTCAGCCCCTCATTCCTGCAACAGTTCCTGGGAAAAGTTAGAAGGAGCCATCATCCAAATTTTCAATGAGAATGCAGGAGAACTTAGCTTTGAAGAGCTGTACAGGACGGGTTACAACATGGTTCTGCATAAACACGGAGACATGCTGTACAACAACGTGGATGCTACGTTGAAGCGGCGATCGATGGAGTTGTGCGAGAGGGTGGAGAAGAATACAGATGAAACGTGATTCAGCCCTGTCTACAAGTAGCTGTCTCTGTCTGAGAGCCGTCGCAGGTTCCTGAGCTCGCTCAAGAAGATATGGACCGAGTACAAGAGGAGCCTGCAGATGGTACAGGACATCCTGATGTACATGGATCGCACGTACGTCAAACAGAACCAAAAGAAGCCGGTAGCCTCTCAGCTCCTCTTGATTTCTGCGCTGCATACCTTGTGTTCGTCGACCCGTCGATCAGCTCATGGGCTCCGCTGACTCTCCTCTCCTCGCAGGTTTATGACATGGGACTGGGCATCTTCTGCCAACACTGTGTTCGAGCTGCTGGCGTGAAGGACAGGCTTCGCAGGCTGTGAGATCGTGTTATGAATGATCGATATTGTCATGTTGAAGACATGTGGATCAGGACCCTTGAGCTGATAAGAAGGGAGCGTGATGGCGAAAAGATTGAACGGGATATTCTGCGAAGCATTTCACAGATGCTCCAGGAAATGGGGAAATCTGTCTTTCATGAAGACCTTGAAAAACCGTGAGTATCTGTCTTGCGCAAATTGATGATATTCTGAAATCTGTACAGTTTCATTGAGAGCTCGCAGCAATACTACATGGTGCAATCCGAGAGTCTAATCACAGGAAGCTCAACACCAGAATATCTTCGCTATGTAGAGTCAAAGTCTGGATGCTTGATGAGTTTTGATATGATATCCAGGTCGAAGCCAAACTATTAGAAGAATCAGAGAGAGTTTCTTCCTGCCTGTACGTCTAGGCCTTGCTTGTGGCTCGAGTGAGATGTACTTGGCAGGTCGATAGATTACAACGCCGGAGACTCTGGTATTAAACAAACGGTGGAAAATGAGCTGATAGGAAGGCACATGATGAGTCTTGTGGAGAAAGAAGGTTTCAAACGTCAACCGAGGTCTTGTCACATGCTGAGTTTGAACCCATCTAGGTTCCGGGCTGATCCGCCTGCTGGAGGACTTCAGGATTCAGGAACTGAAGAGCATGTTTGATCTGTAGGGTCTCGCTATTGACAACTGCCGGTGTGCTAATCCCCTCTATACAGATTCTCTCGTGTGCAGGGCGGCACAGATATCATTGAAGGAAAGGTTGCCGATCACGTGGGACAGAAAGGGCGTGAAATTGTCATGTATGACTCTTGTTACATTGGTATTGAGCTCCCTGAGTGCTCCAACAGGTCTCTCGAGAATCAAGCAGATCCTCTGCAATTCGTGCATCAACTTCTAGAGCTCAAGGAAAATTATGATAGGTCAGGGAATTGCATGTGTACAGATGAAAGGGAGTGAATGCACGATACTAGGATGGTCAGAGAAGCGTTTCGGAAAGAGAAATCCTTGATCAACAAGCTCCATAAGGTGATTCGGAGCTTGCGATCTCGGTATGGGCTGATCTGCAAGTATAGGCGTTTGAAGTCTTCATCAATTTGAATTCTCGATCACCGGAGTACATCTCTTTGGCTATGGATACGCATTTAAGAGGCACCAAGACAAAGTCCAGTGGCCCTTCGAACATCAGCGAGGAGCAGGTGCGGCGATGTGCATGTGCATCTGTGCAGTCACTGAATTATATGGTATGAAGACGGAGGGCGTACTGGAAAGGACTTTGCAGCTGTTCCGCTTTCTGCAGGAGAAAGACATGTTTGAGAAATACTTCAAACAACACCTGGCAAAGCGGCTTCTGGGAGACAGGTGAGGCGTGTTTCAAAGTTTCATGAACCCATCAATGCATCTTTGTTTGACACTATTCACAGGAGTCAATCTGAGGACTTGGAAAGGAAAGTCATCCAAATGCTCAAAACAGAGTGCGGGTAAGTTGCAGTGAACTCTCGTTTCTTCCTTTCAGCTTTCATGAATGTACCACGTTGATCCCTCCCGAATCGCAGGTACCAGTTCACTGCCAAGCTCGAGGGGATGTTCAAAGACATGCACACGTCCGCAGACCTGCATCAGTCCTTCAGCAGGCACCTTTCGCAGGGGGATGGGAACTCGTTGTCTCTAGACCTTCAGGTCCAGTCGTCCACCAAGTCTCTTCCCCCAGCTCAGCTCCTGGCAGGTCAAAGTGCTCACGACCGGCTTCTGGCCGACGCAACCGGCGCAGCAATGTCGGCTACCGCCCGAGATCGATCATGCCTGCATGGTGTTCCAGCGCTTCTACCTCGCCCAGCACAACGGGAGGCAGCTGACGTGGCAGGTGACTCGCTGCTGTTGCTTCCCGCATGCTGTCGGTTGTGCTTGACGCGCCCCTGCCAGACTAACATGGGCAACGCCGACCTGAAGGCCAAGTACGACAAGACGTAAGAGATCATGAGACGAGTGAGGCAGTCGTGCGTTGACGTCATCGCAGGTATCAGATCAACGTCCCGACTTTCCACATGGTCGTTCTCCTCCTCTTCTCGCCCGAAGGTTCGAACCAGCTCAGTTTCAAGGTGCTTCGCTTCTGCCGGCTGCTGTTCTCCTCACCCCACCTCCAACAGGAGATCGAGGCTGGAACCAACATCCCCAAGGCTGACCTTCAGAGGACCCTCCAATCGCTGGCATGCGCACATCACAAGCTGCTGGTCAAGGAGCCCAAGTCGAAGAATGTCTCAGAGGATGATGTTTTCTTCTACAACTCGAAGTTCACTAATCGGCTGATCAAATTCAAGGTGGTGTATCCTCCCTCCCCCTCCCCCCCCCTTCGCTCAACTCTTCCCCTGCAGGTCAGCACGATCGCAGCTTCCAAGGAGAGCAACGAGGAGGTTCAAGCGTAAGTGACGCGACCTGCGTCTTGCAGAAGAAAACTGAACCTTGTCTGCAGATCGAGAAACAAGATGAATGAAGATAGAAACCCGCAGATTGACGCGGCGATCGTACGCGTGATGAAAGCTAGAAGGTGATATGACGAGGAGGGGGAGGGGGAGAAGGAGGAGTTGGAAGAGGAAGAGGAAGAGCAGGAGCAGCAGAAGAATATCTGACAGTGATGACAGAGTGATGGAACACAACTTATTAGTCGCCGAAGTCACAAAACAGCTGCAGGTTGTTCTCCGTGTGTGGCCGTTTTGCTGGCACTGACCTCTTGCGCAGTCTCGCTTCAACCCCAACCCTGTAATCATAAAGAAGAGAATAGAAGGCCTGATAGAGCGCGACTTCTTGCAGCGCCAAAGAGGAGACATCAAGAAGTACGAGGTGATCAAATATGTTATTACTCCTCTTTCTACTCCTCCTCCTCTTCCTCACTATCATTATCGTCTCCTTCCGATCATCATCATCACCATCCCCCCCCCCCCCCCCCCCCATCCCCTTCCTGTTGTCCCCACTCCCTCCTCAGCCTATCCTAATTTTATGTTCGGCAGTACTTGGCGTGATCGCGAGAAAGCATCATGTAGCAGCAGTTTTCAATAAAAGCATGATGAGGAGCAAACCCTCGATTGTGAGCATGAGAAGCGCGTCGGACTCCTCCGTCTGTGAACAAGGGATATCCACTCGTAGAGATGTCACAGTGCGACTTTCCAACCACACAGACACCGACGACGGCTAGTCCTCTCTTGTACTAACATATGCATACATTCGTTGAGAGCTTTCCGTCTCCGACCTCCCCATTGAGATTTCCCCTAAACTCCCACCTGCATTCTCAACCATGAAACTCCCGACGTGAAGCTAGAGCCAGACTGCGAGCACTGTGAGACAAGAAGTGGAGGGTAGGGGAGGAGAGGAAACGGTAGGAGCCAGGGAGGGCGATGAGGAGGGAAACGAGTCTCACCTGATCAGGGTTTCTTCTTTTCTGACCGTTATCCTGCCATACCTGTCAACCCCCCACCACCACAATCCTTACCAAGATCGCAAACAGACCTTGTTGTTTCTGTTGACGTCGCTGTACTGGTACATTTCATCCTGCCCCATGGGCCGTCAGACTATCCCACACTAGATGGCAGTAAGCACCTGTCGCTGGTAGTAGCCCTCAGCATCGTTGCTGCTGTAGTACTCGTCCTCGTCCTTCTTGGAGGCGAATGGATTCGAAATGCCCTTGAACGGGTTGTTCTGCTCCATGCTATCCTTAAGCTCTCTCAGCTGGCTGTTCCAGTGCAAGCTTGCGGGGACCAAGCAGCCTGCGGCAGCGAGTCAGGAGCAGCTTGCAGTCTTGGGATAGACGCACAGAAGGCGCCGATGAGGAAAGGAATCGTCTGCAAGACACGGTCAGGGAAGCGAGAAATAGGCAACGCCGAGAGACGAGACTTACCAAGATCACGTAGGACAGGACACGGATGGTGGAGTGACCTGAGAGGGCTGTATAGAACCTCACAGTGTGATCTTCTGTGTTGAAGTAGCAGACGTGAACAGAGCCGACCTGGTACAACTTCACCATGCTGGCGAGACAAGGGAGGTTTCCATCACCTCATACACGCTGCACTTCTGTGAGCCATAGCAGAACGCCTCTCCGTCTTGCAAGCCGGGAATGCCGGGCAAGGGAAATTTCAACTGGAACCACAGGCAGGTCAGCACAGACAGGCAGCCTCGGAGCTCTGGTCCCTCACAATGTAGTGGAAGAGTTTGTCCTCCACAAGGTTCTCGTGGGTCACAGACATGACCTCGCATCTAGTCTGCACAGAGTGGGCGATCTTATCATAGTGCGGCTCCACCACGTTCATGAAGGCCCCGAGGAGGAATATCACACCCACAGCCAGAGAGACAGCGCCGCTCTGCAACAGTACCGCGTCAGCCTTGACCTTTCTCCTCCCTCCCTCCCTCCCTCCCTTCCCCACTGTTTGATCAGCAAACAACTTACAATCGTCAGACAATGGGGAGGGAATCTATCAATGCGCAATGTGAGGTTCGGCATCCATCTATACAGGTCGTCGATGATCGAGTGGCCATTTCTCGGATCACTCCACCATGGCTCCTCCCCTTTCGCTCCTCCCTCGCGGTCTTGATATGATTCGGCCATAGTCCACAGCGGGAAAAACCCCGAGGCTGCAGCCAATCACTCTGCAACAGGAAAATGAGAAAATTCTAGAGTAGAGCAGAAAAAAATCAAGAGAGGAAACGACAAGGTCAAGGTCAACCCTCCCACAAGTTACACTTTTCCATTGCAAGCGAATAGTGTCATGACCCCAACACTTCCTCGTGCACCTTGCCTCTCTCCTCTGCTCATGGTTAAGATACGTTTACTGCACCCTGTATAGACTAGTTGCCCATGTTTCGTTCTCCATTGAACCATCATCACCTTCGTCCTCACCCTGACTCAACTCAGCAATGTCCTCCTTCCCTGTGACCTTGCCATCAACTCGTCGCACACCTTATCCTCTACTTTCTCTACTTCCCCTACATTGCTCTCGTTCCTCTTCCTCCTCTTCCTCCTCTTCCTCCTCTTCCTCCTCTTCCTCCTCTTCCTCCTCTTCCTCCTCTTCCTCCTCCCTCATGCCATGTCGAGGTTGCCCTTTCGTCTGTCCTGAGGCAGACTGTGTTGAATACCCCCACCCCCTTGAACCAATAGCACCCAATTGGAAACGGTGTACCCCCTAGTTCAAGTACCCCACAGGTATTGAAGCAGCCCAATCCTCCGTGTACCCTACCGTGATACGCATAAACCTCTAATACGCATGGGTACTTTGCCATCCTACTACCCCTCTGGTCCCCCCAGTACCTCAGAGTTCTCATTCAAACCCCTTTCTACCACACCCCTACGACGTTTCCTGTACCCCCCACCCCCTCTTTTTAGGAGACACAATCACCCATCTTCCTTACCCAGGATTTTTCGACCCGCTCGCCATGTTGGCGGCGGCGATCGCAGGGGCGCGGGAGCCGCACAGACAGGGGGAGATGCTCATGTACATCATACGAGAGAGCTCAACACACTCCTCTCCCCTTTCCTCCACTGCTCCTCTCCTCCTCCCCGCCGTTCTCGAGCATTGCATCCGATCCTCCTCTTCAAACACCTTGGTTCGACGACTAGCCTACTCGTTCATTCTTGGCTGTGGCGTCTACGTGGGAGAAGAGTGGGACATGGTCTTTGATATGATCACCAGAGATGCACAGAACGACGACGTTGAGCTCTGTCTCTGTGCTCTGGAGTGTATCACAGTCATACCTGCCGAGGTAACCCTAAAGAGACTGGCTGAAGTTGTCCCATTGCTAAGGGACACGGTTCAAAGCAGCATACAGGACGTGAGGAAGGTGTCGATCGACGTGATTGTGCATGTGATGATGTTGGATTGGAGCCCCCAGGCTCTAGAGACGATGATCGAGCTGGGAAAGATGATGTCGAGCTCGCTTCAGGATGACTCGGACCTGGTGTTCTGCGCGACCGCAGAGAGTCTGGAGAGGGTCTGTGCTGAGGCGATCACCAGGCAAGGGCTGACGGTAGGGAAGGTGATCCCAGACTCGTTCGAGTACGTCTTCCATGGACAGACTCCAGCGACCCTCACTGTGAGCCCATGGGGGGTCCCAGAGTCGAGCAGGAGGGCGCCAAGGGTGGGTGGTCCAGATCTCCTGGCTTCGCAGATACTGTCAGTCCTGCAGCGTGAGATCCTTGAGATCTCAGAGAGGTTCCACAGCCTCCCGCAAGCATACAGGCATCGCTGCGTCAGGTTTTTGGTCACTGTGATCAGCTCAACGGTGCTGTGCGACCTTGGCGAGACGAAGCACAATGAGGAGTACCATCACAAGTCCAGCGAGCGGATCGAGTTCTTCCTGGACCACTTCTTCCTCCCTTCCGCCTGCTCGCTCGACTCTGCCCTTGCCTTGGAGAGCTGCCGGGCGATCTTGGAGCTCTCGCGGTTCAACGGCGCCACCAAGTTCGAGTGGATCAAGTCGGTGGTGGAGGGATGCTTGATGATTCTTCAGCGAAGGGAATCATCGCTGGGGAGCGAGAGGGCGATGAAGTTGTTGCTGGTTGCAGTGAGGCTGCTCCCGTCCGATGCTATCGTGAGGGTTTGCCCCAACGTCCTGCGCGAGATCAATGAAGTGAAATCCAGGTCGTCGAGGGTGGAGTATCTCCTGATCCTTCTGTGGACTATGGCATGGATTGGGCCAACGGGGGAGAAGGGGAGAAGATCTCATTCCAGTTCGCCCGTGTTGCATAGCGCTGCAGTGATGGATCTTCTTCAACATGACCCCGATCAACCCAACGTCCTCAAGGAAGATTTCGTTGCGTGTTATGCGCAAGCGTGCCTTTTGCCCTGCCCGCAGGGAATGAAGGATTCACAGTTCATCGAGGCCCGAGCCATCGAATTTCTCGAGATGTTTCACATCTGCTTGCGGTGGAGCGGCTCTGGATCCGCCGAAGCAGCGAAATTGTATATGCAGCTGCTGTCTCGGTGCTGCGCCAGGGCGATTTCTTCCCATCAACGAAACTACAGGGCCGATCAGGCAGCGTCAGGACAGGACATGGACAGCGTACCGAGTACAATGCGGCTGAAGCAGATCCTGAAGAGCGTTATGTCTGCGTTTCCTATCATCTCGTTCCATACTATCAGATCGAGGGTCTTGTGTGTGCTCAGCGAATTCTTGTATCCCCTGTGCAACGTTGAGACAGCGCTGAAAGGCAACGAGACTGAGAAAGAGAAGGCGGACTTGCACAAAGAGGTGTTGGAGTCGGGAAGGGACTTGATCAGGATGATCCGCCTGCAGTTCTTGGGAACGTCTGCCCAGAGGGGCAGGCAGGAGCTGCTCATTAACGAGGGCAAGTCAGGAAACCTCCGTCCTCGCTCTTTTGAGGCGAAGACGCTTGCCGAATCGAAAGGAGAAGTTCTAGGGTGGGAAGACACAGAGCTCCTGTCCCTCTGCCTGCTCCGATGCGCCTTCCATTGGCCCCAGGAAGCGGCGGCAGTGGACCAGAGCTTTGCGGAGATGCTGTCCGCCAACAGAGATCACCTGAAGGTCAGGGACCCGTCGATGATCCAGAGGATTCATTTTGCAAGGTCGCACCTCCGCCTGATGCAGGGCGGCAAGGGTGAGGGTGACGAGGGGAGGGAGGATGGGATGTACTCGATGCCGTACGGGGTTTGGCCGCTGACTGCCAGCCCTCCGCCCTCAGAGGACGGCCATGTGACAACCGTCTACAAGAACAGGGTGCACAGGCAGAAGAACCGAGCGATCATGATTGCTCCTGACGCTTCCTCCGGCTCCTTCCTCAAGTCCATCGGGGTCCGGCCGAGCGAGGTGGTCAGAGGGCCGGCCCAAGGGGAGGCGGACCTGTCGGAGACCATACAGGACAAGATCTGGAACATCTGGGGACAGAACATGTCAGCGGCGTCGCCGCCTGATAGCTCGCAGAGGAAGCACTCCAACATGCTGCCAAACATGCTGGGCAAGGAGCACGGAGGGTGCGGCTCGACGACCGTGTCAGCCCCCAGCGACATAGTGCACGTGCAGGTATCGCACACCACAGACGAGGACTCGAGGCAGGTCTGGTTCTCCGTCTCGGTCTGCAACCGCTCCTCGCTGGAACTGGCGACCCTCAAGCTCGACCTGCTCCATGGCAACGGGCTGACTGAGATGCAGCCGCACGCAGCCAACGTGAGGGTCTTCAAGAAGGTGAGGGAAAGGGAATGCTGCTCCTGGAACGTCGGGTACCACGTCATCTCGCTGCAAGACGCTTCCGTCACTGTCCACTGCAGCATCCCGACCAGTCAAGACCCTCGGGGTGCTCAAGAGGTGATCGAGTGTGAGCCCTACCGGGTTCCGTTCACGAAGCTCCTCTGCCCCTTCCCCAAGCAGGCGGTCAGCGGCCACTATGATGTGCAGACCAGCCTGGCCATCTGGTCGAGTTTGGAGTTCTCGTTTGTGGTCAGCGCGTTCGCGCCTGGACGAGAAGGCGCGAGGCTTGTCAACGATCAGCTGGACTCCTCTCCTTTCTCGCGTGTTCTTTGCAACTCGTTCTTGTCAGCTGGGGATGAGCTGAAGGACGACTTGTACGGAGGAGGAGCTTCGCTTTACAGCTCCTTCCAGACCTCTGCCTTGTCTCAGTCCTGGTTCGGGGACCTCATTGCCGTCGCGGCTACCGGGCACTTCTGCGAGCATCTCGGGTCCTGGCGGCTGTTCCTGGAGTTCCGAACCTCCTCGGCCATAGCGCTGTCGATCCTAACGAGCAACGTGCAGGTCCTCGTCGAGACGACGTGTGGGAAGCATGTTGTGGAGGTTCAGTCGCGCGAGGAAGTACGATCCAACATGGACCTCGACTACAACCGCTCCTACCTGGTCAAGAACCGCAATGTGCTGCGGCAAGCAGGAGGCACGTCGGCGCTGAACCAGAGCTTCTCGTCGGTCGAGTCCGCAACGGAGCGATGGAGGCGAGCGAGGGCTTCCTCTGCTCACGACAAGATTCTGTTCAAGAGGGCGAGCGCTCAAGCTGTTTGATCTGATTGTAGATGAAGTTGACCTGCTGTAGATAGACATGATGAATGTGACGCAATGAAGTTTCAAGTGATCCCAGACAACAAATTTGAAAGTAACAACATGACGCTGCCGCGCATTACAAGTTACCGTACTGGTACTGTCACTGAGCGCTGACGCCCACCGTCCCAGCCTGTATGACAGACTGTCCGACGGTCCCGCAGGCCGCACTCGGGGCCATCCCGGCCCGGCCCGGCCGGCGCCCGGTCCTGACCGGTCTTCGCCGGGGCCAGGGCCAGCCTCAGACCGGTGGGGACTCATTTTTGACAAATAGCGTCAAGGCTCTAAATAGAAGTTGCTGCCCCCATGCCGCTACTCCGCCTGGCTCGGGATGCGTCAGGGTCGACAGCTGGAGGGAGGAGGGAGGAGGATTATGATGCGAATGATGATGATGATGATGATGATGATGATGATGATGATGATGATGATGATGATGATGAGGAGGAGGAGGAGGAGGAGGAGGAGGAGGAGGAGGAGGAGGAGGAGGAGGAGGTGGTGGTGGTGGTGGTGGTGGTGGTGGTGGTGGTGGTGGAGGAGGAGGAGGAATGCTAGATAGAGGAAGAGGAGAATCATGAAAGAAAGCCAACGAAAGGAGGGATGGAAGTGACTGAGCCCGTAAGGAAGGGAGGGTGAGGGAACAGCAGGGGAGGGAGGGAGGGAGGGAGGGCACAGGTTTGACAGGAGGAGAGGCAGGAGAGCTTAAGAGGGTTCAGTGCATGAGGATCGAAGCGCGTGAAGAGAAGGGGAGGGGGGGCTCAGAGGCGCAAGCGAAGGGAAGGGACGCAAGGAGGTAAGCGCAAGTGAAGACAGGAAAGCAAGAGATGTAAGGGAGAGGAGCGAATACTGGGACAAGGCAGCTGCTGGCACGTATCATTCGTAGCTTTCCAGATGATCAATCCTCACGTGTAACCTACTTGAAATGCCAGGAAGGATTATGGCCGCAAACACCTTCCTGTACTGCCTGTGGTTGCGTCCGGGGTCCAAGGACTCGGCACGCCTGACAAGCGTCATCCACGGACTAGCAGAGGCGCATGGAACGCCAAAGGTGATGAGCTGAGAGGAGCTTGCTCGGCTGAGCATGGGAGCAGTTCGACCCGCACATCACGCTGGCCGCTGCAACGTCGGAGCGATCGGGGGCGGAGGTGGAGGTGAGCTATCGTTGCGTGAGGGTGGAGGTGATGGGCTGGTAGACGGAGGCGTCGGACTGGATGGCAAGGAGCAGCATGTCAGTGAAGTCAAGCTTTCGATTGGATCTCGGGCCAGGTGGTTGAGGTCCGGGGGGGCCATGGCATGCTCGCTGAAGCTTGCTTTGCTCCCAGCGACTGTCGGGGAGACCAGGCATCAGTGTATCCTTGCTGAGGTGCTCCCGACATCCACCGGCTTCTCCTCCCTCCTGAAGATGCGCGAGGTGAGCTGAACACTCGCCTTGTCCTCGAGGAGGTGACGGGTAGCGGCAGGGTGCGATCAAGTCGCTCAGTGACTGCAGCATACTACAGCAGGTCAGCCCTCCCCCTCCCCTCCCTCCCCTCCTTGACCGGCTGCAGCAACCGGCGAGTGTCTACTACCCTCATCTCAGCCTTGTGTACGGAGACTTTCCCCGGGATGAGCGCGTGTCGATATCAAGGTCAGGGATCGCGTGTGAAGGAGGCATCGACGTGGACTGCCTGGAACTCTGGGTTGTCCCGATGGGCGCGCCCGAGTCAGAGTGGTACAAGTTGAAGGAAATGAAGCTGGACGGGATCGATCAAGGTTATGTGCTGCCTGTCTGTATTCTTCCTTGCCAGTGATCGATCATGGTTGTGCCTGCTCTAACTGTGTTGCTGCCATGTCCCACCATCTTCGGTGCTTTACTCACGAGGGACGTGCAGATCTGGACAAGCTGAAGGAATATGTGCAGACAATTGCGCTAGACGACAAAGGCGAGCAGGAGGGAGGAGAGGACGAGGAGGACGAGGAGGAGGACTGGGAAACCAGCGTCGACAACTTTCAGGTTGCTTTACATTTCGGTAGCTATTGCTCAGTCTCAGCTTCCAGCTCAAGTCGATCGACAAGGTCAAGGAAGAGGTGGATTGGGATGCAGCAGAACAGGAGGAGGAGAGGTGAGGCTGTATAGGGATCCCCTCACGATCTGACTCCTCCTGCTCCTGCTCCTGCTCCTGCTCCTGCTCCTGCTCCTGCTCCTGTTCCTGCTCCTGCTCCTGATCCTGCTCCTGCTCCTGATCCTGCTCCTCCACCCTATCCACCCCCCTTCTTCCTCTTCCCTCCTTCAGCTCTCACGACCAAGTCCATCGGACTGCTGGGATCTACTCGGAGCACTCGACCACCAACCTCCTCGAGGCCTACAACTTCCCTCGACGTGCTTGAGCTCCTGCTGGCCTGCGTGTGTCCTGTGACGCTGCTGCCATTCAGATCTCGACGAGTTTGCGATAGAGGAGCTGATGAAGTCGCTGCGAGCATCGGGTATCAACACGCAGCCGGTTGACCGCGGCCTCTACCTCCTCGTCTTCCGAAGTGCAACAAAAGCAGGTGAGAAACAGACTTCTACCTTCGTCCTCTTCCTCTACATCATCGTCCTTGTCCCCGTCCTCGTCCTCGTCCCCGTCCCCGTCCTCGTCCTCGTCCTCGTCCTCGTCCCCGTCTCCATCCTCTTCCTCTTCTACCCTTGCTCCTCTCTCAACTTTCTCATCACCGCTCGTCGGAGTCCACCGCTACCTCCCCTCTCCTTCTCCATCCGATCTTCATCTCTCCTTCCTTCCCCCCCCCCCTAGCACACGTAATACCGAAGAATGCTAAGTTCAAGTCCAATGAAGGTC